CTTCGCTAATTAAATTAATCACCGTAATTTAGCTTAGACTTATAAATTTAGGGAGTACTTAAAATGTGAAATAATCATTTCACTACCCGACAAACTCCGAACTTTATTCATTCATTAGGCCTACATAATAGTTTCATATTGCTGTACTATAATACTCAAACATCACTGGCGCATGGTAACAACCAACTGAATGCAGACCATTTCCGGTCACACATTACTCTCCATAACACAGCACCACCTAGTTCCGTCACCTCTGGTTTTTTTCCCACATGATTTCGGTGGTATTTTAGGGCAAATAGAAATATAAGATTATCACTATAGACCTAGTATTGAAAACAAAAATAACTAGGGGGGACTCTTCTTTATTCCGGATATGAAGAAGCAGGCTTATTTAAATAAAAGAAACGTAATTAATTAATTAATTAATTAATTTCCCCCTCCAGTTGATTGATTTATTTTCCCCTCCCTTTACTGTCCGGTCGTTTTACAAATGCTCCTTCCGTCGTTATCTCGTATTTTGATATTGGTATTTATTTTTTTGTCTTTTTTTTTTGTCTACCTTTTTAATATTATATAATATATATTTTATTGTTGCTGCTATGTATGTTTTTGATGTTGAATTTTTAATAAATATACCTCAAATAAATAATAAAAACTTTGCATTTATATTACAACAAAGATACACATTTGCAGGGGTCCCAAGTTGGAAAAAGGCAATTCGTGAAGCAGGGGTGGAGCCAGTGCAGTGGGAGGGTAAAGGGAGAACACCCATCTCTTGGGGAGAAAATGCACAATTCCACATTTAGAACTCCCGATCTACGGCCAATTTGTTTCCGTCTTGCTGGCATCTGATACTATTTTAATTGTTATTTAGGGCCTACCATGTTGTATATTTGCCTTTACAGCATTATTATTATTATTATGTATTATTATTATTATGTATTATTATTATTATTATTATTATTATTATTTATATATATATACATATATAAATGTATATATATATGACTTGATACCCTATGGCCTTCGGATCAAGAATCCCATGATGCATACATTATCTGACGTATCAAAAAGTAACGAAATATGTTCTGAAGCATCAAGAAAATTACGAAACCACGCCACTAGTGCAACTTACGCAAAACGACAAGAACTGAACCTTAAGTTAGAATAACCTAATCAACGTCTGATCACTATTGTCAAATCTGCCGAAGGTAAGGCTATTAACAACCTCTTGAACATTTCATACGATCAAGAACTCCGTACCTGCCTATTCATAAAGATCGAGAAAATCAGAAATCTAGCATTAAAAGACCCTTTGCTGCATCACCTTGCCAAGAATAACAACGCAGTACTGTACAGCTGTTTCCCGAAATGGATACTCCCCAACAACACACCTAAGTCCCACTCGAATGTTGTGAACCTCAGTAAATACTCACTCACCACGGATGAACAATTTATACTTGAAAAGGGCTTATTATTTTGCCCATCACGTCGTTTAGACCCTATCAACCTATGCTCGGACCTCAGCCAATTTATCTGCAAGATAAAACTCAAGGAATATTATAAGGACAAACCGGAACCCACGACCAATTCGACAACCTATAAAACAAAAACTGGCACACAGAAAAATTTGTGGGTACCACCTAAAGGTAGAAACCCATACATCGATAGCTTCTAACGCCGCTAAGTCCCACCTCAACTCATTCATTCAGAAGTACCTCACTAATCCACAACCAGCTGATAACCTGTCTAAGAATCAACGCACAGCGATAAAGAATCTCCACCGCAACCAGGATATTATCATCAAACCAGCAGACAAAGGCGGGAACATCACTATCATGGATAGAACTGAATACATCACCGAAATTGAAACACAACTATCGAACCAATCTTTCTACAGGTGCCTCTCATCGGATCCTACCCATACCTACAAAAAGGACTGTACTAATATGGTGTCAAAACTAACTAATACTAACATTAAATCTAAGGTAAGGGCTCTCATCCCTGATGAACCCAAACCAGGTGTCATATACATCTTGCCTAAATTGCATAAGCTTCCTAAATTAGTTGGAGAAGCTTTAGTGCACAACAACCAGTCCCAATCCTGTAACGCGGACATGCTCTCTGATCCTACATATATCTACAATCTTGCTAGATCACTCAACATCACACCGCCAGGTAGGCCCATCATATCAGGCAACAGCACTCTCACAGAGAACATATCCGGCTATGTCGACTCTATTCTGAACCCCTAGCTAGTTAGTATCCCCAGCTTCATACAAGACACAACACATTTTCTAAAAAAACTCCACGACATCCCTCCTCTACCCAACCATGCATTGTTAGTCACTTTAGATGTATGCTCATTGTATACCAATATCCCACACGATGAAGGCATTGCGGCGTGATGAAAAATTCATTTCCACCCATGATCCGGCCCAATCATCCTCAGACATATCCAAACTTATCAAATTTATCCTCACCCACAATAACTTTGTTTTCCATGACAAACATTACCAACAAATAAGTGGCACAGCCATGGGCACCAAGATGGCTCCATGCTATGCTAACATTTTCATGGCCGAGCTGGAGGATAGACTCTTAGCGAATTCCAATCCTAAGCCATCATATTACTGTCGATATATAGACGACATATTTTTTATTTGGGAACATGGGATTGATAAACTCAACGAATTTGAACGCTTCGCCAACAACTTCCATCCCCGTATCGAGTTTACTATCAACTCTTCGAGTAGTAACATCTCCTTCCTGGACGTATCTGTCCACTTAAAAAACGGGATTATATCTACATCTGTTCATCATAAACCCACAGATAACCATCGCTATTTGGATTTCAACAGCTCTCATCACATCTCGCTCAAGAAGTCTCTTATATACAGTCAATGTCTCCACATTAAACGCATCTGCTCTACCCCCTCTGAATACCAGTCAGAACTTGCCCGACTCACTTCTAAATTCCTAGCCAGCAACTACCCTATATCTCTCATCAAGTCTGCCATTTCTAAAACATCCACTAAGTCTCGTACAGACTTTCTGACGTATACCCCTAAATCTAATAATGATAGAATACCTATGATATTCGACTACAGTCCCAACCTAGAACCATTAGCTAACACACTCAGGAAAGACATCCTCTCCCTCAAGCAAGACCCCACCATCGAACCCTTATTCTGCAACCCCCCTGTTCTTGCCCGCCGGCAACCCCCCAATCTGAAATCTCTCATCACCTCCTCTGAGCTCCCCACAACGACTCGTGATCATGGTAACACTACATGTCAAAAAGCTAGATGTCAACTGTGCAAATTCATCAACACAGATCACACATTCTCACCCCCTGGCACTACATACAGCATTCACCCTCCCGCTGCCAACTGTGATACATCAAATATTGTATACTTAATATATTGTAATATTTGTTGCCACGGTAATTATGTAGGGGAAACCGGCACCAAATTCAGACTTAGGATCAACAATCACAAAAAGTCAATCAGAGACAAAAGCCCAGGCTTCCCAGTTAGCGCTCATTTTAACCTTCCCGGTCGCTCCATTGAGAACTTTAAGTGTATTATTCTAGGCTCCAACTATAGATCGTCCAATGACAGACGTTGTGCCGAAATAAAATGGATAATCAGGCTTAAAGCCCCATTCCCGGCAAAAATTCACTAAAAATGACTTTTTTTAGAAAATATGCATTTGCATTACTCCAATTATTATAAATCATGGAAAAATATTGGCATGAATTTTAGTTTTACGCAAAAGAATAAAAAAAATGAGAAATACAGACTATTTCCCATAAAATATTCGACGAATTCATCGTTACTAGGCAAATTCAGAGGTTGTAGATCGCATCCACTGGAATACTCTCGCTTTTATGTATACTTTATACAGTCAATAAAGTGCGCCCTCTCTAATGAGATTAGTTTTTGTCATAGAGCTATTATATCTCTATGGTTTTTGTACTTCGCATCTCGCACAATGCGGTCGTTCGGTTAAGGCCAACGGTCCTACTAAATACCACACGGAACCACTCGCGACCACACGGGACCACTCGCGACCACACAGGTGCAAAAATGATAAAAATATTACCACACGAGAGTAGAAAACTACTTAATAATCAATAGAAACCAACTTTTAGTACGGTAATTATACAAAATATGGTAAAAATGATTTTTTTTTTACAGGTTTTTCCGCCGTGCTTCGGAAGGTAATGCGGTGACATTGAGGTTCTGTAACGCATTCACGTCTCCAGAAACGTGTTCAACCTTGACCTCTACAACATTCACTACGTACAGTACGTTACACTTCATCCTGCGTGTATGCCTATTGTATGTATAGGCCTATTATTCTACAATAACTGTATTTATTACTGTATCTGCTTTGTATTTTTTATACTTATGTGTTTTTGACTCTTATTATTTTAATTTTAATTTTTTTTTATTTGTATTGATCCTGTAGTTATGTTATGTTTTAGCCCAGAGACAAATCTAGTTAACTTCTTATGAATAATGTTTTTAAAGATGGTTTTTTGACATGTTTTCTATGAAAATAAATAAATAAATGGCAGCAGTACCGCTTTTTGTGTTTCAATGTTTCTTAATGTAATTTTGTTGGTTTTGATACACCGTATCATTGGGAGTGTAAGCTCAATAATTTATAATTATAATCGAGAGACTTATTCTAAAGTATTCAAGGCACTCCACGTGAAGTCTAATTAACTTAACAATTGTATATAATAAAAATGAAAAATATGTTTTGTTAATAGTAATATTTAATATACAAAATTGCACTATTTATTAGACATGATAATAATATTAAGAATAATTATTTTTATTTATTATTATTATGCTATATTATTATTATTATTATTAAATTAAAAAATATATACTGAAAAATAAATGTGGGTGTAACTCCCACGGAAGATAAAATTGTCAGTTCAGAATTCATTCCATTTGATAGGCCTATTGGATTTGTATCAAGTGTAAAACAATTGAGGAAAGGAGATTTTCTGCATTAATATAAAGAATAACAAAGAAAATTGGTAGGCCTATTGGATTTGTATCAAGTGTACAACAATTGAGGAAAGGAGATTTTCTGCATTAATATAAAGAATAACAAAGAAAAAAAATTATACATATAGATATATAAATAAATAAGATTCAGTACGACAAATTTATCCGAAGTCAAAAATTCCATTGGGTTAAGGGTAGAATATAAACAGATTCAAGATTACAAAAATAAAATTGTTTTATTTCTACATTTTTATTCTCATCAGTTAACTACTCGCATCGAAACTGCTCAATTTTATTATTGTATGTTATGAAGATAAATTTGTCGATTATACAGTATTCTAGTTTATTGACATATATCAGCCCTGCAGCTACACAAGCCATTATTGTTATTTTATCAAGTATAGGTCCTCAGTGTTTATGCTAATTAATAGTTCAAACTATAAATGAAGAATGGCAGACGATTAACATTTTCGAGTAGAAAAATATAAATATATTTTTGATTTTCCGACAAATTTGAACTCTTGTTACGTGCCACGTAATAAGACTCACGTGTGCTTAGTTTCAATAAAAATAATCTTGCATAGACCAATCAGCAACAGGAACATCACGAAGCAAATTTAATAGGTCACCGATTAAATCGTAGTTTAGTGAATCTTGTGCGGTACCGTAATCAGTGTCCTAGATTACCAATTATATAATCACGTAAATCTACCACAATAGAAATGTATATATATATATATATATGAAGAATGCGTGCCCACCTGTGTGTAAAAACATGAATATAATATAGCGTAACAGTAATGAAACTAAGAAATTGACTTTAGAAACACTAAAATTTAAGATTTTGGATAATATATATATTAAAAAGGCAAATGGGAAAACCCAACAGCAAACGGCCACATAATTCAAAACAATTTAAAATTAAATCGAAAACAAAGAGCCACCAAAGGCAGTAACGGCGTTCCATATAATTTGACTTGCACCCATAGAGATATAATAAGAATACTAGAGCGCTAACAGCAATGTATTCGATGTTCGAAATACGCAGAGCTGTTTGTGTGTACCATCCAAGATGGCTGCCATAGATTTAGCCAATCAAATTTCGCTAAGCGTCATCGTTTGCAAATGCGCCCTCAATTTACTCAGAAAGTTCAGTACAGCTAGTTACCTTTATGTTTGGAACTCGAGCGTTGCGGTGTTTGGGTGTAATGTATACGATTTTAATTTTCACTCCTTGGTACTTTATTTTTGAATAAGATGCTTCACTTGGGCTCGTTTTGGCTACAATAGTTTAATAATTTGTTGTTACCATTACTCATTATCATTAATGAAATAATAGTCAGGCAGAGGGCTTATTATTATGTAATAATATGTATACTAAGCCTGAAGGTGGCGCTTTACTACGACGGCCATCTTGGATGGTACACATACATAACTCTGCATTGCTGCGCCATCTTGTCAGCACTCTAGTTGTTTAATAGCTCTATGCTTGCACCAAAGATACTAGAAATACAAGATAGAGTTCTCCACACAAAAAAAGTGTTCCACCGTGTTCCA